CACCAGAAACACTAAGAGTCAATTCATAAAAAATTTGTAAAATGGTCACAAAAGTTTCAACTGCAATCCAGTCTAAAACATCAGGAATGTCACTACCCAAATCAGTACCAAATGCACTCTCATTCTCCTCATACGCTTCAAACACTTTCTCATTAGAAATAGCACATTTAAGCATCAGGTAAGTGGAATTCCACCTAGTTGGAACATCCAGGTGCAGACCACACTTAGCTTCCACTCCTATCAAGTTAGATATATCTTTGAACTTCTGCAGTCTAGCAGGTGAGTTCCAAACATACTTAACAGCTTCCCTACTTCTCTTAATAGAATTATCAGCATCTTTAAGCCCATCTTGGACATCTAAGTTCAAAATGTGTGCAATGCAACGCATATGAACATACTTGACTTTCACAGAAGAAGCACCCCAAGACATCAACTTTTTCTTAAAAAAACCAACAGCAGTATCATTACTACTAGCATTATCTACTGTCACAGTGAAAATGTTTCTCAGACCCCACTCAAGCAAACAAGTCTCTAGGGCTTTAGCTAGGTACTCCCCTTTGTGAGAAGTGACAGGGACAAAGGAAATGACTCTTTTCTGAAGCTTCCACTGATCATCAATGAAATGAGCAGTTATACACATGTAATTTATCCTCTGTACAGAGGTCCATGTATCAGTGGTAATACTGACTCTTTGACTGTGTTCCCTGAACATCTTTTTTTGGATAAGTCTTTCATCATGGTATATTTGATAGATGTCTCTAGCAATTGTCCACCTAGAAGGTATTATAAATCTAGCCATGCTACTGACATAAACTTCCTAAAACCTTGTCTGTCTACAAATCTAAAAGAAAGCTCATCAATGATTAACATTTCTCCTAGAGCTCTCCTAGTAGCATCTTGATCAAAGACCCATGTTCCTATGACCCCAACATTTTCAGAAGGTTGACCATGCTGTGGAAGGACTGATTGAAAGGTTAAGAGGGCTTGTCTAGTGTCTTTAGCATGAGGGTTTTTTAAGCAGCTAAGCATGTGATTCCTGATGGAGGAAGTACCATGCTTTTTTGAGTGACAACAATAAATTTTGGCACAATAATCACACTTGCCCTTAATAACCACACCTTTGCTATCCTTAATCTTGAAAAAATGCTCCCAAATCTTAGATCTGACTTGATTGACTTCAGCCTTTTTCCTTTTTTTGTCCAGAAACAGGAGGTGGTTCTGTGACTGCAGATGGGTCATTGGTTACTCCACCCGATCCTTGGGTACTCCACCCGATTTATGATCTACCACATATCATCCTAGATAAGGTCTATATCATAATCAATAATCAAGACTAAACCAAGTCTTAAGGCCTAAGCATAATCATCCATGCAATTCATGCATTAAAAATAAAAATATAGGCAAAACAGCACCAAACCGGCGCCGTTTTTTACATAACCGGCGCCGGTTAGTAATTATATTAATTAAACCAGCCGTGCCGAACCATAACCGGAGCCGGTTACCCCCTGGGAATCCTAGTCAACATTTTTCGTTCACTCGCCATTTCAAACCCGATTTGTGTCAAACTTAATCCCAATATGTTTTAAGTCATAACCAAGCATTTTGTGCCCTTTTTATCCTTTAAAACATCATATAAGTTTTTATAAACATTTTCATATCATACTTCATATATGATATCAATGGATCATTCATATATGCCTAATCACTTTGGCTAATCACATGTTTAAGCATCTTTTAAACATCATTATGAACACATATAACATTTACTTAGGTAATCTCATAATTAACCCAAGAGTTATAAGACATTAAGCCGTCCACTCACCTTGAATGAGCATTATGAAGTTCTACCCTCCTCGATCGGTTGAACTCCGACGAAACTCCGGCAAACTTTGACGAACTCCGGCGATAACTCCGGCGACTCTTTCAACTTCGTGAAAGCTCTTAAATCACCTTTGACAAGTGCCTAACAAGGTTTTATCATCACAAAATCCATATCAATACAAATAACCCCTAAAAGGTTATTTTCCGGCGAACCGGTCCCTTTGGCTTCTAAGTCCATTGTTGGACTTAGAACTACTTCCAACCCCTTGTTCCACACTTTTTAACATGTAGAACAATCTTAAATGTACTTCATATGATATACAAGTCATATGAAAATCAAAAGATGTAAGAAAAGTTGTTAAGGAGCTTCTCACCTTCATTCTGAAGGTTTTTCTCTACTTTTGCAACTTCTTCTTCCTTGAGCTCCTTGCTTTTTTGAGCTCTCTTGGCTATGGAGATGGGAGTTTGCAGAGCCTATTCCCTTGTCTTGAAAGTGCTTGGTCAAAAATGAGAGGGAGAGGAGAGTAGGGATGGTCTTTTTGTCTCTTTGGACCAATGAGTGTGGATGAGAGGTCCACCTCATGTCCTTAGATGCCTTTTCTTTCAACCCCAAACATCTCCCATCTTCCTCCTCTATTTTAGCCGCCCAGACACATGGATCTTGTGACTAAAGTCGTGGGTTAGCCCCCACACATGTGGGAGGTCATCCCTTTAAGTCACGAAGTGTACAATCGGTCTCGATATTTGTATTTCTCGGACTGTTTTAATTATATTTTATTTTATCGGATCAAATAAAATATAACACTTACTTCCCATGATAACGGGCCTTTAGAATGATTATACATTCCCCAACTTTAATTTAGAAGTCTCCGAAATCCATTTCGGACTTTCCTCTCATAAATCACTAATACCGGTAATTGGGCCCTGTTTGACCAATTGGTCAACCCAATGCCTTTCTTATGCCCCAACATGAATGTCCACCACCATATAACTATTATCTATACCAAGATGAATAAAATATGTGGTCTCGGGAATATCGGGTGGTCCCCGCTCCCGGTGTGGGCCCCACGTGCAATTTACTATTCACGCAAAAGAATTAACAAAAAATTTACAACCTCGTAAATTCATTAACCATTTCATAAAGTTCAATACATAATTTACATAAAAGTAAATATACTTGGGGACGGTGTTACAGGTTATCACACAAGGAAGCAATCATATACGGGACCTTGGACGTTGCAAATAAAACTAGAAACCCCTCTAATTAACTCAATTAGTCATATCTTGAACATCAATCCTAGTGAAACATATTGCTAGTTCACTAGTATGAAAGGCACACTATAAATGACCACAAGAATATGTAAAAAGAGAGCGAGAAACTCATCCAACACAAATATTTAAAGCATCATGCACAAGTCTGATTAGAGCTCCCCAGATAGAGCTCTATAACAACTTTTAAATGGAAAACACATTCTCCTTCCACGCCCACTGTACTTAATCAGGCACGTCACGATTACTCAAAGAAATGCTTACAATCAACTTCTGATCACGACCCTCCAAGATGTCACCAATAACATCTGAAGCTCAATTCTTCTCTTCCACCTTTTTCCATCCTCAACCCTTCCAGTCCTTGCCACACCTTCATGGATCACTCCAAACATTAATAGTCTAACTCATTTACACTTTTTAAATTCAATATTCACATAATCTCATCTTGATAGTAAATTACTCATACTTAAGTAGGGCAGAGCACGGGTCGGGTTCGGGCGGGTCGGGTTCGAAAATGGTAAACCCGTTCGGGTATCGGATTGATAATTTTAAACCCTACCCTATCAAAAAATATATCGGTTTTTTCGGGTCGGGTTATGTTCGGGTTTTGGTCGGGTTGATTTCGGTTTTCGGGTCCATTCGGATTTTAATTTATTATTGTTAAAATTGTGATATAAAAAATGGTAATTGGTAAAAATATCATTCAAAGTTATACTAGTATAACATTCAAAGTAATAGTTGTATAAATATGATAATCGACATATTTGAACATGTAAAATAATAATATACGGTGATATACATATTTGATATTGTGATAAATAAATGGGTTTTTTACAAGAATATTACTAAAATAAAACGTATTTACATAAATATGACTATTCATTACTACAACGTAGTGTTGTGGTAACTGAAGTTCAAAACCAGAACATGAATTATTATGATTTCATTACTACTCTAGTAACTAATCATATTTTTGTAAACCATCTTTATTTTGGTCATATTTATCCAATTATTAATGACAATTGGTCAAAATATCATTCAAAGTCATAACAATACAACATTCAAAGTTATAGTTTTACAAATACGGTAATTGAAATACTTGAATATGCATAATATGATAATTGACATACAATAATTGAGATATTTGAACATGCATAATAATTCAAAGTAGTATATATACTACGCTAGTTCGGGTTTTCGGACGGGTCGGGTAGCATAATTGGTAACCCTACCCGCTACCCGCTTAATTCTCGGGTTGCAAAAATCGGGTCGGGTTTGGGTGATTCGGGTCGGGTTATCCGACCCAAAAAAAAAATAATCGGATATATCCGGTCGGGTCAATCGGGTAGGGTCGGGTTTGCTCTCCCCTATACTTAAGGGCAAAAATGTAATACTCATATTTTAGAGCTCTACTACGTATTATTTATACCTGTATTTTAAACAATTTCTCATTCATCACATACACTAAAGTATTACGGAGTATTCAATATCTTGTTTTAATATGTATTACAGCAAAAAAGTACTTTAAATTTATAAACATGTATTGTTAATAGATTCTATAAACATAGAGTATATTTTAAATTGTAATGGTCAAACATCACCCAAATTTAACTTCAAAAAGTCAATTACATTAGAGGAGGGAGAGTCATCATTGAGAATTATTTTCCTGTCTACTCCGTATTTTTTCGGCCTGGCGACTTGCGAGTTTCTACGATAGCATTTTTGTATTTACATAGGTGCACGGCCATCGCCCCAAGCACTGTAGTAGTAAACGCTTTCTCTCTGTAAGTCTCCCAAATTCCTCTCTCTTCCTCCATTATTATCAATTTGTTTTCTTCTCGAGAACAAGCAAGAAGAAAACGAGCTACGACGCGCAGAGCTGCTGACGCTGACATGGCGTTCCAGGACCACTTCTCTCAGGAAATGGCCCTCCACCAGCAGCAGCAAAACGCGGCCGTTTTGCACTCCATGCTCCCCGCCGATCACCACTCCTCGCCTAAATCGCCGCCCTCTACGTGGCTCAACACCTCCCTCCTCCGCCAGCACAGCCACCACTTCTCCGCCCCCACCGACGGCGCTGCGACCGGCTTCCTCCACCTCCAGACTTCCAACTCCGACTCCTCCACCTCCAACCACTGGCTCTCGCCCGCGGGCGAGGGGCTTAAGAGCGACGACGTCTCGGAGCCGATTAATAACAATAACGCGATTAATAATGAGGAGAGCAGGTGGGAGAGGGAGAAGTGCAAGGCGGACATTCTGAATCACCCGCTGTACGATCAGCTCCTGTCCGCGCACGTATCGTGCCTGAGAATTGCTACGCCGGTCGACCAGCTGCCGAGGATAGACGCCCAGCTCTCGCAGTCCCAAAACGTCGTCGCTAAGTACTCTGTTCTCGGTCAAGGTCAACAGCCTGTCGACGACAAAGACCTTGATCAATTTATGGTAACTTACCCTCTTAGTTCTGCTTTCATAATTTCTTATGTTTACCCATTACAACGAAGGGCAATATCTGCCTAGGCTAGCCCTCTTAATTGATAGATTGTTGAATGTATTAAATATAGTAAGAGGAGTTTTCCGGGAGTAAAACACCGTTGTTTTAGATTACAGTATTTTAAAGAGGGTATGGATGGGCAGAAAAACCTTAGTTATATAATTTAATTTTTATAATATAAAATAAAATTAACTACCAGGCAATACCGACGACCCCAACAAATACACGATTGTCATCCTAGATTCCAATGATAGCCTGGTAAATAGAATAGTATCATTCTGAAGTACCTGGTTTTTGTCAAATGCCATTCTGAGACTCTACTGACCGACGGCCAACGATTATATAATGATCTTATTCAGTGATCCTCACACACAAATGGTCAATTAACATAACCTTTTATTGTTCTATTCTCATGAAACATATGTCATGAACCTAGGAGGGGAGCCTTGGGGCACCAATTAAGGTGTTTCCCGAGACTGCCGAGAGGTCATGGGTTAATGTCTTGGGAGCAGCGTCTTGTCAAAATGACAAGAAAAGGCTGCCCTTTTACATACTTGTCATGGGACCCTTTCCGGATCCTCGCCTTGCGGGACACCAATGTGCACTAGGCTGCCTTTTTTTATGTATCTGAAGCTACTCATTTGAATGGATGATATTGTAACTCTGTTTATAAATATCTACTTTTTTGTGAAATAGGTAAACAGAATCATAAGTTCAATAGACTAAATTGTTTGGTGCAGAGTTTAGTAAACAGAATCATAAGTTCAATAGACTAAATTGTTTGGTGCATAGTTTACTATTTTCCGCTTGACACTACTCCAAGGGATTCTCTGCTCTTAGTCTCCATTTCATACTTTTATATATCGCTCATTTCCTTGCATGTAATCTTCATTTTAATTTTTGATATTAATGAACTCTCCAGTCCTATTATTTCTTACGTAGTAATTTTTTCCATATGTATATATTGATGCAGACACACTATGTTTTGTTGCTCTCATCATTTAAAGAGCAACTACAACAACATGTCCGAGTTCATGCCATGGAAGCAGTCATGGCTTGATGGGAATTAGAGCAATCTCTGCAGAGTTTAACAGGTGACAGTCCCCTATTTTAATATCCTTCAAAGCCACACGAAATAGGCCTTATGTGTTGGCTTGAAGTTAGGAGTTTTTGTGTAGAAGTAAACCTAATTTGTTCTCTTTACCCCAAATATAGACAGCTCATAAAGCTTTCGTTTGTCTCTCTAAAGAATAACTTGCTCTTGGACCCACCCTAAGTTTGGTAAAATCTTTTGTTTTGTGTAGAAAATTTTGTATAAAAAATTAAATGAGTGATCCCCCCATTTTCTCTCTTACCCTCGCCTAGACTTGCATGTTTTAACTCCCTCCAGTGGTCATTAACAAATACATTATGCCATCATTTTCCCATAATTAGCAGGAATCTTCATAATTTGTTTTCTCTCCTTTTGAGTTTTGAGCCTATTGACAGTGCTTTGTAGCTATTTTTTTAATTAATGCCCAATAACAGGTTGCAAGATGATTATTTCCCACTCTCACAACTTTGGGAAGGGTAGTGTGTCGTATGCTTCCAACTTTTTGCCGATTCCCCAATTAAATTAACCTTTGATAAGCCTCATAGCCCCCATTGTCTCACGAACCTTTGAATGTGTATTTTCTTTATACTCTTTGGATGGCAGGGATGGCACCAGGTGAAGGGACTGGGGCAACAATGTCTGATGATGAGGATGATGAACAGGCTGATAGTGACACCAACTTTTATGATGGAGGGTTGGATGGAGCGGATGCAATGGGCTTCGGCCCTCTTGTGCCCACTGAAACTGAGAGGTCTTTGATGGAGCGTGTGAGACAAGAACTGAAGCATGAGCTCAAACACGTAATAAATAGTAGTTCTTCTCCATTGCTCTTAATGACTTTGTCTGTCACATTACTAATAATATGTTATTCTGTTTTCTAGGGTTACAAGGACAAGATTGTGGACATCAGAGAGGAAATTTTACGCAAGAGAAGAGCTGGAAAGCTGCCTGGTGATACGACATCTGTCTTAAAAGCCTGGTGGCAGTCGCACTCAAAATGGCCATATCCAACGGTTGGTTGGAGAATGTGTGCTTAATTTTTAATTTCATCTTTTGATTATTTGACATCCTAGTTAATACCATAAATTTTTTCCTCGACTATTGGGGCAGTACACAACATAGTCATGAACTTTATTTTGATCGGATTTGATCCCCAACTTTTATATCATGATCAAGTTTGGTCTTTTGATAATTTTCTACATCTTTTATCCGTAAAAACTAGTGCATCATTATATAACTACTTAACTAGAAGCCATATCCATGGAAGCTAATCCATGTTTCATAAGATGGAGTCATGGGCTAGAACTAGGATTCTAGAAATGGACGACTCATTTTCATCTCCCCCTTTGATTACGGCCGTCTTCCTTTGTGACTCCGGTGATGGATATGGCCTCCCACTGATAGGTAAACTGGGCTTGTGTTGGATGAGGAGGGGGGGGATAACAGATGATTATTAAACTCACTAAAGATATGAAAGTTGAGGTTCAAATTTTGATCAAAGTAAAAGTTTGGGGTTAAATTGGGTTCTGCCACAATAGCCAAGCACGATTTCTGGTATTAACTCTTTCTCCTCCTCCCTAAATATCTTTCTTTCGATGATGAACCAATGCAGGAGGAAGACAAAGCGCGATTAGTACAGGAAACTGGCTTGCAACTAAAACAGATAAACAACTGGTTCATCAACCAAAGGAAAAGAAACTGGCACACTAATCCTTCATCCTCATCCTCTCAGAAAAGCAAACGCAAGAGGTATGTTGCTGCTTCTACTTTTTCTACCCATCTATACTGCCACAATTTCCTATAGTAATTCACTTATACTTTCGTGATCTTCTTCTTGATGATTCTTTGAGTAGTACGGGCGAAAATATGAGCAGCGAGCACTTCATTTGAGGGGTAGAACTTGTATAGTCGCAATCCCATTAAAATCACATCTCTGTATACAAATAGTTAACACTGGACATGAGAAATGAGCGTCTCAAGATTCAGCTGAAGGTTGCCGATTGTAATTGCAGAAGTTTTTGCCACTAGACCGCTGGCCGGGTATGGAGGATTGGCAGATCCACTTCAAGATAGTTAGAGTATGCTTTTGAATACAATGTGACGTCCATATTATTAAGCAGCAGTGCATATTTTCCCACTTCTTTAATGAGGTTCTTCAATGTTCAGTATCTATTGAAATGCTTATACACTTAAATATTATTCACTTATGCATGCTTTGTAAGTTTCACCTTTTTTTTGTTCTTTGAATGTGAATATTAGTAGCGGTTGGTCATGGTTAGTCCTTCGAAGTTCGAATAGCTGTAAATGGTTGATTCCTATTGAATGAACGCCATATATTACCTTATTTTTCAGTGGATAATTTGTGTTTTCCTCATCTGGGTATTTTATTGCCTCTGTCCATAATAAAACAAAAGGTGCAACTCCTGAATTAATATTGGATATAGGGGACTGATGATGTATATTCCCATATGCCGCAGGCCGCAAGGCTATCATAATCAACGAATAAGTATTTCAGTTATATCAATACTTAGTACGAAGTTCCAGTCAAGGCCGATCTCGACGCATGAAGTTGGATGATGTGTATTTTCTCACACTTAAAATAGATTGCAATATAGTGGTGTAAGTATGAGTATCGTCTCCACAGGGACGGACAAAAGGGAATTAAGAATTAATTAAATTCAGCGATTAAAAATAAATAAAATAAATGCGTCGTGCGAGATTGGTTGGTTTGGAAAATAAAACTAATGCGAATAAAATAATTAAACTATGGGGTTCTTTCTAATTAATGACGAAGGGAACAAGGATCGATTTCGGGGTAACCAGATTTCTGGCAGATCAGGCCTAATAATTACATGAAATTAATTTAATTGAGCCTAGCTAATCATTACTAAATTCTTACCGCTCTCGCGGCGTAGAGTACAATAATTTAGGGGACCAGGCCGATCTCTCATGCGACATGATCCTAAATTATTGCCAAGACGAGCGAGCTTACGGCCCCTTTATAGCTACTAATCTCTTAGAGAACGATTAAGTGTGTGTGAATGTGTCCTAGAACAAATTAGATCTCTCTTAATTTATTCTACATGCAATTGTAATTCTAGTTGCGATTCTAGGTTACAAAAGATATCAATTAAATTATTCAAACACAAATTAAACGGCATTCATGCAATTAAACCGAAAAGAATCTAGCCATACATCATGATTAACCCCTTCATGAATCCCAAATTCCTAATTAAAACTACTCACAATTCATAATTGAAGAATCAATAGAATTGGAATAAAAAGAATTAATTGTCATTAATTAAAAAGGTGGAACTTACAAAGAATCCCAAAAGATTGATGAACAAGGCTGAAAAGCCCTCTAAAATTCGTGCTAGGCACTCTCTCTAAGCTCCCCACTCGAAAACGGGGGTTTACATGATGTTTAAATAGAAAAATCGGGTGAAATTTGAGCTGAATTAGGATTTTCGGAGCCAGGCACGATGCCAGGCACGATCGTGCCTTCGATCGTGCCTCCGGAGCAAAAACGCGCATTTTGGGCAGGCACGATCGTGCCTGGCTGGCAGTAGCTCCGCGGTGCTTTTCTCTTCAGGCACGATCGTGCCTGACTTTGAAGGCACGATCGTGCCTACATAACTTCCGAATTTGACAAAACCTCCTTCATGAAAGTTGTAGATAATGAAGTCCTCTATCCACCCCAATTTGCCGAATGTGATTTGAATCATCCAATAAAGAGATATGATCAAAACGGTGGAAGGTGTCATTCTGAAATCGCAGCAGAGATCATCTGACTTCATCGTCTGTTTTCACCTTTTTCCTCTTAGATTCGCGCAAAGGTGTCTTCATATCATTCGTATCCCTTGAAGTTGGCTTTCATATGGAACTTGAATCGTGTCCATTAGTTGTTCCTACAAAGAGATAAACTTGAACGATTGACATAAGGTCATTCTGATCGTCGTTTTCAAGCTTCATTCATCTTCTTTTGATCCCGAAGCCAATCCTAGAGCTCTTTTTCCTTCAAATCTTTATCGTGAATCTTCCGGTGACCTCCAAAGCTATCAAATCATTCTCAAATGCTTCTCAAATCATCCCGATTGTTCCTCAAGTGCCGGTGCCGGGCTCAAATTCCCTGATTTTGACTACAAACAACACAAAACTCGAACCAACGCCTGGTAAACATAACTTGAGCTAAAATTGAGACTTGTAATACCTTAAAACTAGGAAAATCATCAAAAGCCGATCTCAACACGCATCAAATACGTGTCAAAATACGGACTTATCATTGGGTCACAACACAAACCCGCAAATCGATGAAGTATGGAACTATGGCCGAGGCTGACCTCGACCCCTCGAGGTCGGCGCATTATTGAGCTCCCAGATCACCAAAATAAATCCAAATATGAGGCCGATCTTGAGGGCGTCGAGGTCGGTACCAGATCTGACCTCGGACACTGATGCAAGTCAGCGAGAGTCAACAGATATGAAGAAATGATCGCCACCAGACAAAATGAAGTTCATGATCAAATCCTCTTGAATGAGCCCACTATGCCCGAGCTCTAACCTCACAGAGCTTGGGGTTTCACTAATCAAATATGGACTTAGACATTCCAGCAGACAAATATCATGCAAGCTACCGCCACGTCATCACCATTGTGTGGATGCCACATCACTCCAGGCAGTTAAAGTAAAGAATATTTTGTATGGCATACGTGTGTTCTGGTGTGATTCTGTTATGCACAATACCAATCAGCCATCTATCCCAGGTATCTCTCTCATCACATTTACACGTGTCCCCACTCCATTAGATTAGTACATTTATTCTGTTAGACAGATGTGCCACGTGTCGCCACCACAATAGATTAACAATTTTTTTACATGCTGGTAAGTACTTCTCCCTTTAGTATAAATATCACTTTCCAGCTTGTGGAAAGGGATCCGAAAATTCTCTCTGCATACTTGATGTTACTATGCTAAAATTTCTATCTGATCTTACTTAGCACTTTCATTCTCTTCTATTTCTCGGATTCCGGCTACTCCCCAGGCTCGGCGATCCATCATTTGGTGCTTTCATTGAGAGAAAGATAGTGAATCAAGTTAGATCCTTCCTTTTTCTCAGATCTACAACCAGCTTTTTCATCAACAACAATGGCAGGAGGAAAGAGAGTGATGTGAAACAGATGTGATGTTGCTCCCGCTGCATAACCTGAGCCGTCGGTTGAGATCACTACCACCTCTGGTCTCCGGAGGGATGCCAAGGGCAAACAAGCCGCCCCAGCGTCCGTGGATCTGCGCAGCCAGATCTAACAAAATTCTCCAGATCTTTGTCACCTGCTCTCTCAAAATCGCGATGCAGCGGCAATACTGCCTGCTCAAGTGGTGCCACAACTCCAGCACCAACAATTTATTTCTTACACCTTTACTGAACCCACTGCTGCCTGCAACACGGTCCAAACAATTGTGATGAACATGGAAGACCCAGAACTTGAGGACAAAAGTCACAAAACCTATCCCCATGGCCAATAAGCCCGCAAGCGAAATAAAAGTTGGCCAATTCAAGTCTTTTTGAAATAATTGCCATACATCAAGACAAACCTTGACCCTCATATAAGCCCTCATTTTCCTTCAAATCGGTGATCATCAAGCTTACCAAAACTTTTAAGTTTATTACCAACAATTATAGCAATCCTTAAAGTCAAATACCCAACATTTAGGTTATGCATTTGAATCCAAAATTCTAAAAAATCTAAAGGAACTTGTAAAGGGAGGTCATCATGCTTTAATTCATGCAACACAACAAGATTTTGATCGTAAAACCACAAATTATTCTCTAAAACACGTCTCATATCAATATCATGATGATAAAAGAAAACAGATACCTCTTATCAGTAATATCCTTAATTGAAACACTCCTGCTTGGTCTCTAAATAGAGGCCATTGTGTCCCTAGACGACAAGAATTTGATCTGTTTCCCAGACATAACATACCCCACCAAGGACCACTCAGACATCCCTCCTTGCTTTTCCTTCTCGCTGATATCGGGCAGTACTTGGTCTACCTCATCGCTGATATCAGGCCGTACAAGACATTATTGTTATGCATTATGCTTTGAATTAAGTATTTGCCTTATTAGTCATTGCATTATTAGGAGTACAACATATTTCTTCTAAATAGGAGTCAAGCTATATTTTCCCTAAATAAACCTAAACATTAATCTTTTTAACCCTTAATACCTCTAATTTGATTAATTAATATAATTAATTGCCCCTAGTTCTCTTTCATAACCGGGTCAGTCCATTGGTAGCAGGCCAGTTCGATGGTGATGGTGGAGCTCCGCCAACCAGCGGTGGCGTTAGATTGGTGGTGGGTGCATTGTGGAAATTTTCAGTAGATCCGGCGATCGGTGGATGATGGCTGGTCCAAAGCCTATAGGGGTATCCTTGTGGACCTTGTCCAACTTTGAAAGAATACTCCTATTTGAGAAATTTTAAAAACTTACTCCTATTTTTGCACTTTCTCCTATTTTTACTCCTATCTCTTGAGTGAATTAATTCACCGATTAGAAGTAAAACATGAGCCAAATTCAAAAATAGGACTACATTGTTTTAAATTTAATAAATAGGACTAATTATATGTATTTGGAAAAATATACCCATGTAGCTGTAGGAGTGCCCATCCCTCAACCACTAGCAATCTGCACCTGTCACCGCGAGCCATTGATCACCGAAATCTACTGAAAATTTCCAGAATAGATTCGCCGCCGCCACCAGACTGACCTAGATATGCAAATACAGAGGGGGACAATTAATTATATTGACTTATTAGGTTAGGGGTGTTAAAGGTAGAAAATTAATATTTAGTCCTATTTAGGGAAGATTTAAGTTTTACTCCTATTTGTACAATTGTGTTTAAGTTTACTCCTGTAATAGTCCTAGTTAGCTTTGTTGCCATTTAAAAGCGTTTTAAACACATACCATTTTTTGAATAAATAAAAACGTTTAAAACGAAAAATAATTGCAGTCCGTTTAAAAAGGAAAAAAACTCCCCCTTCCCATATATAGGGAAATTACTATTTTATAAACTGTAGGTGAAGCAAGGTGTGATATTTTAAAAAATAATTACATTTATCACTAAAATAAAAATTGTTTACAAAAATTTAATTAGTGATTAGAGTAGTAATGAAATTATAATAACTTATGTTCAATTTTTAAACTTATATTATCGTGATACTACATTGTAGTAACTATTAGTCACATTTGTGTAAATAAGTTTTATTATAGTAATATTTTTTGGAGGAGGGAACCATTCTTTAAGGGGTCGTTTGGTTC